TTTTTAATGTTGAAAATGTCATCAGCCAGGGCTGGAGTCAGAAGCTCACGTCCCCCAGGGCCTGGCAGGTAGTAACAACCAGGCTGCGAAGGGAAGAGTGCCTCCTCACCTGGAACATGAGGACATGGAAACTTGCAGACTGCCATGTTGTCTGAAAGAGATGACAGCCACAAAATGCCTTCAAAAATGTCCTCATCCTCGGAGCGGCGATATCAACAGCATCTCAGAATTATCAAATCCACTTGAGCAGAACCCTCGGAACATGCTCCATACTGGGGACCCTGGGATGATATTGGGTGGCTGTACCCCATCCCCGGGTACAGCTGGGAGGCTGGGTGTGGTTTCTCCCCCAGATACAGGAACAAGAAAATGTGTAAACAGTGGTCTCACCCACTTTCTTCTGATCCTCAACCCTTCCCACCATGATCAACTCTGTAAACATCATCAAAAATAAAATAAAATAAAACATGCCTTCAGAGAGACATGTTCATGGTGGCTAAGAGTGCCCACGTGACAGCCACTGCTGAAGGCCATGTGTTAGCAAGCGACTCTTCTTTCCTGCAGCTGGACGTGCCCACAGCTTCTCCATCTGTGAGGAGCTAAGAACATGATGAACCACAGGACAACAGCATTGTCTGCGAGGGGGATTTTCCTGTTTCATCATTTTCTTCAAGAAGCTTTCTTGTAAGCTTTTCTATGGGCAAGGCAGGGTTTTCTAGAATAAATGAGAATAATCCTTGTTACCAAAGGAAAAGAGAGAAAAGTGCCTCTCTCTGTTCAGAAGGACACCAGCACACACACTGTGAACATACTGACGTCATCCCATGCGGCTAATGTAAGCTCCGTGTGTGATTTTTAAAAATTCTTTTTAAAGCTTTCATCCTCATTTCACATGAAATGCAGAGAAATCGCGACAGAGTTTCCCATCTGTTAGTTCACTCCCCACATGCGCGCTCACAGCAGAGTGAGCCAAGCCGAAGCCTGAAGCCAGGAACAAATCCAGGTCTCCCATCACCTCATGCCTTGCAGGGTGTGCTCCAGCAGGACACCAGAATCCAAGGTGGGGTGGGGACTTGAACTCGGGCTGTGGGCACCTGAAGTGGAGTTTGAAATGCTACACCAAACACCCAACTTTACACGCAATTTTAACTTTTCTAGTAGCACCTTAAAAAGAGCAAACAGGAGGAGGTAAACAATGGATTAATATGAATACTAATCTATTTAGCCCAGTATATCTCAAGCACTTTCAAAATACAATCAGGATTGAGATTACTGAGATGTTCTGGATAGTCAGCCATCTGGGGGTATTCCACACACAACACTTCTCAGTCTGGCCAGTCACATTTCAAGGACTCCATGGACCACACAGGCCCAGTGGCCAGCTGTTGGGTTTGTAAGGTCCACAAGGCCTTTGGAGAAAGGAGCTAAAGAGAGTGTGTGACATTTGAGTGATTCTTCCGCGTCATAGAGGTTATGGGGTTTGACAGTCAAAGTGGATCTGCATCACCTAGATGCACCCCCAGACACAGGGGAGACATTTCTTGGGGTTCCAGGACCAACTGCTCCCAGTAACAGCTGTCTGGGACTGAAACAGGGTCTCCCATCAAGTATGGCATTGCTTATGGTGCCAAGGTCATTGCCTTGCTGCCCGCCATCCCCCTTCCAAGGAACATTCTAAAAGACACCACCGTCACTCTGGAGCTTCTCTGGAGGGAACCGTGAGCTGCCTCACACCCCAGCTTCTCCTGCAGCCTGGACCCCTACCCTGGCTCTCACCACCTGGCCAAGCTTCCTGTAGGCAGATCGGCTCCCCAGGGCCCACCTCCAGTGAGGGCCAGTGCGCTCACCCCTCGGGCTATACCAGCAAGGTGCCGGGCTTCGTCAGTCCTGTTTCCACAGGACGCCAGTGCTGGGGGGACCCTGGCTGGGGCACTGGCTGCACATCTACTGCAGCAAGGAAGGAAAATACGAGCTCACTGCAAACTCCACCTTCAAAGCCTCTCCTGGGGCTGGCACTGTGGTGCAGCAGGTGAAGCCATGGCCCCCCGTGCAGTGCTGGCATCCTAAGTGGATGCGGTGTGTATCCTGGCTGCTCCAATTCTTTTCTCTTCCTTGTAACTTTTGTTCCTCTTGCCTCCCCAATCAACCTCCTCCTTTTTTCCTCACTCTTCTTTAAACCCCTGCCCCCCCCCAAAAAAAAAACTTTAGAGGGAGGGCAGGAGAGAGAGAGGGAGGGCCATCCAACTGTTGGTATACCCTTTTAATGCCTGGCATGGCCCCAGGCCGAGCTAAGGGCCAAAACCAGAAGCTGGGAACTCAATCCAGGTCTCTCACAGGGGAGACGGCAACCCAACTGCTTGAACCATCACCACTGCCTCCCACGGGCTGCAGTAGCTGGAGGCTGGAATCAGGAGCCGGGGCCAAGGATCAAGCCCAGGCATCCAGATTTGGGACTTACACATCTTAACCCCTAAAGCAAACACTCCGCCCACTTCTTGTTTTTAAAGCAACAGGCCCAACGTCACTGGCCCAACTCTTGCCTGACTAGATGACTACTAAGTTAATGAAAGGTGGTTCAGCCTAGAGGTTAAGGGAAAGGGCTTTGGAAGTGGATGGCCCAGTTGCAAATTCCAGCTGTCATGTGCTAGTGTGACAGAAGATTTTGTTCATGTGCCCTGCTTCCTCATGCACACAACAGGGAAAGTTAGAGTCCCTGTTACATAAGGCCGAGCTGGGGATTGAGTGCATAAACACGTTGGATGTTGCGCAGGACAGTGCCTGACGCACCCTAACGGCACAGGGCACAGTCCGTGCTTGCTGCTCCTGTGATGGGGCTGACAGCACGCTGCAGTTAACCCCGAAATCAGGCACTCAGGATTCAGGAACCTGACTGCTTTGTGTCGTGAGGGCCTCAGAGTTGGGACAACCTTCCAGGGCTCCCATTTCTGGTGTCTGTCAATGACTAAGTCAATGTGTCCATGAACTTGTCTTCGTGGCGCTGGCCACTTGTCATGCTGTACTGAGTGTGGATTCCGTGGCCCTGACCTGAAGCACTGTGAATTCAGCTGAGCTCAGCGTCACAAGGACAGCCACCCAGGCACTTGGCGCCTCCTCCCAACTGAGCACAGCCCAGTCACTGGGAGGCCCCACGCGACTCTCCCGAGTACTGCTTGTGGGCTTTTCCTGCTTTCCACTTGCACATCCCAGGAGCCTCAATCTATACCACCAACTGCAGCACAAGACCTTAGGGGAGGAGACTGGCTCAACAGTAGGTCAGCTATACAAGAAGACCTTGAGGACAATGACATTCAAGGTACATTTACATGGGCAGTCCCGTAACTTCGGAAAAGAACTGTGAACCTAGAAATGTTCTTTCTGATCTCCTAAGTGCTGCTGGAGCGCTGGTCCCTGTGAGCTGGGTGGGGAGAGGAGCGGACTCCAGCAAAAGGGGACTGAGACCAGAAGAGGTCCAGGTTTCCATCCACGTTGCTACCAAGCAGCTGCGGAACTTTGAGGTCCGAAGCTGTCTGGTAGGGAGTTGAAGTAGTTTGTAAGTTTCCCACTAATTCCCACATGTCATGCAATCCCTCTCCTGTGATTATCTCCAGCCCTCACTGTCTAGCTGGCCATGGCAGACGGCTGACAGGCATGTGCGTGTTCAGCCAGCATGGTAGAGCCCCGGCCAGTCCCCTTGCAGGTGAGTGCCCACTACCACCACTCTCTGGGACCTCTATGGTGGCCACCACAGTGACCAGGACCCCTTCCCAGATGGCTTGCTGTCAGGCAGAGTCACAGTCGAGCAACCACAGTGTGGTGGGAGACAGGAAGAGAGGAGCCCCTGTTCAGGCTTTGGTGTTGGCAGCAACCACCAGTGGTGTGGACATCAAGTGCCCACCCCAAGCCTGACAACTGAACAATCGTGACCACTTTCTTACTCCTCCTCGGAGTCCTGGGAGTCAGCGGGACTCGGCCAGGCGCTCCTGCTCGGGCTGTGTCCTGCAGAGGCCGCAGCTGGAGCCCTCACCGCAGCATTCACCCACAGCAGCTGAGTTCCAAGAGCGAGGAGCTTGAGAGTCAGCCAGGCCCTGACCTGGCAAGTCACAGAACAGCCTGTCCACTGCCTTTGCTCAGCTGGGCAAGTCACAAAGCCCAGCTCATCCTTGGGGGGCAGTGGTTAGAGCCCCCCTTCTAGCAGGAGAGAAGCCCAGCCTTGAGGGAGGACCTATGTGAAGGTCCCCCGAGGCAGCATCCGCACGGCAGGCGTGGGCTTGGGGATGCCAGCCCAGGGCTGTCACCTCTGCTTACTGCTCAGCACACCCTTCGGCTTGCCAGTTCTCCTGGAACCTTTGAAACCAGCTCCCTTTGCTAAAACTCCCAAGGGAGTTTTGGGTTCCCAGTCTAGACTTACTGGAACAAGAACCATGGCTGACTCTTGGTGTGAACTATAGCAAACATTCCCAGGGCGATATCAAACCATATGATGATACTTGCCCTTGGTGCCTCTGGCACATCAAAGCACTACATTTGCCTCGGAGGCTGACCAGTATGTGCACCCTAGGGACACAGAGGCCCAAGGACAGGGCTGGACACAGGCAGAGCTGGAATCCAGCTCCAGGTCTGACCCGGAGGGCCACTTCCTGCCGGAGTTCCACGTTCCTCAGAGGAAGTGTTGCTTTTCATCCCTAGTTACCTAATCTGGGGTATCTCTACCTAGATAGCCTATCCATCTTTCACAGGGAAAGGAAGATAAGAATACCTGGGGCAGTGGCGTACCAACACCCAGTCCCAGTTCTGCCACTCACAGCCCTGCGGCCCCCGGGCGGCCACTTCCTCTCCTCCAGAAAAGGCAGATGACCTCTGCACCGGATGAGTTACCCCTCAGGGAGTGCATGCAGCTGGATCAGATACTGTGGGCAGGAGTTAAGCAAAACAAGGAAACTAACACCCACCTACAGAGGGTCTTGAAGAAAGTCTGGCAGCAAGAAGTGTACCCCAACATCTGCTGTGAACGCAGGAAAAAAAAAACCCTCAAAGTTTATCTCACCCACCTTCCTCCAAACCTCAACCCTGCCCACCCTAAACAGAAGCCCACATTGGCAATACATTCCTCTCAACTAAGTAAACAACAGTAAAAATAAAATTTTAAAAATAATTAACTTATTTTTATCCAAGAAACAGCTTGTCAAGGAGGAAACAAAATAACAAAAACAACAATCCAGAAGATCAGTGGTGTCACAGACCGAATCACCCAGGCGCGCTGGACATTGTCCTGAGCGCTTTGCAAGTGTTAGGTCACGGCAAAGTGCCTGCTCCCCACCCAAAAGCCACTCTGTCACCCGCCTTTGTGGAGAACAAGGAAGCTGTGGCTGGCCTAACAGAACGAGCAGACAGGCCGGAGAGCAGGGACGTAAGGAGACAGGGAGTGCCTGGCTTGTCGGGCCTGCAGTTTCCCTGGAGGCACGGTCACACGCACACGCACCTGCCTCTTGTCTGATGGCCGTGCACCTGCACAGTGCGGCCACGGCCCCAGCCACCGCACGGGACTCGTGTGTCCTGTCCAGAGGGGACGCTGTCCCTGCCGGTCACAGTCATGCCTCACCTGAGTAAATGTCTGAATTGGACATTTTCAAGAACTCAAATGTTACACAACCAGAGTGTCTTCAAATTTGATCACTTCGACAAAGGAATCAATGTGATTCTAGGAAAAAGGACCGAGCGCTTTATTCATCTGTGCAGGACGCGTGTCAGGGCGGGCAGAATCAGGACGCTCTCCTCAGCCAGCCTTTCCACATCTTGTGCAGTTTGAGTGAGCTGTAAACCACTGATTTCTTCACGCCTGGAAGAGAGGAGAGGTGAGACACGCAGGCTCGCTGAGGGCACACTCTGCCAGAGGAAGTATCATCCCACCCTGGGCCCTGGCGATGGAGACAGGGTCTCTGAGGGCACACTCTGCTACGGGGGCAGGGTCCCCCGTCTCGGGCCCTGTGTGACGGGCTGCTGGTGGGCTCCAGGTCTGAAGGCACACTCCGCCACAGAGGCAGTGTCCTTCTGCACCGGGCCCTGTGTGACGGGCTGGTGGACTCCAGGAGCCAGGGTCGCTGTCATCAATGCTGGGGGAAAGAGATGCCATTTGCAGGTGGGCCGACATGGTGATGTGGATGCCACCAGCACCTGAGGTCCTGGTACCAAGGACTCTCTCGAGTCAGGAGCATGTCAGCAGCCTTTAGACTTAGGAACTCTTGAAAAGGGTGAGAGGAGGGAGAACCTCGCCATGGGGCATCCTATGCCATGGGGCATCCTATGCCATGGGGCATCCCTGCCCCCTGTTCCTTCCCAGAGCCTGCGTTCCGAGCATATCAGCTTCCTGCTGTTTGCTGCTGCACACACACACACGGCTGGTCTGCAGAGAACATGGGCTGTCCCCACCGCTTCCTGCCTCGCAGACTCTGGCGGGATTCCCCTGTAAGGGTCCTCTCTAGGAGGGGGCTCCCTGGACAGTAAGGCTGTGCTGCTCTGCTTCCTCTTTGGAAGTTGAGTCCCTGGAGGAACTTGTCTCCCCATCAGAACCTAGTACATCACAGGTACTCAGCAGGTGCTTCCAAAGAACTGAACAACTGTGCCTCAGACAGCTCAGCCTCCAGCACCTGCACCCTGGCTGGCTTACTGGCACACACACTCATAGAAGCTGCACAAGAGGCTCTTGGGGGCTCCTGGGAAAGAAGTGGGTTGGGTGCATGAAATGGGCTCTTGGTCCGCCAGCTCTAACAGGTCCTGTTCGCGGTTGCTATTGTGGGCCCGGCTTCCTCTGTGCCCAGGGTGAGATCATCTCAGGGTGTGGCCCTCAAATCCCAACATTCCTTTTTCCCCCCCAGAGAAGCCCACAGTGGCTGTGCTGCAAGTCCTGGTAGCACACTGGGCAGGACTTGGCTGGGGGATGCCCAGCCCTGGGCTTTGGGTGATTTCTTGTAAATGTGGTGGCCGTTAACCTGCGAGCCAGCTGCCTGGGCACCTCTGCAGGGCTTACTGTAGACAGCGGCAGGTAGGAGGCCCATTACCAGTAAAATCATTAACGAATACCGGATCTGCCGGCTGGGCCTGTCTACCTGTGGCTGATTTGCAAACCCATGGGAGCCTCATCCAAACACCTGGGGCCCCTCCCTGCCTCACCCCTTGTAATTCTCTGCCTGGAGCAGCCACTCTGATGGACCCCACCCACTCCAGCTCTGAGCCCGATTACCTAAGAGGTGCTTTTAAAACCATCCAGAACCGACTTGGAGAGTAGGCAAAGCGCATCTGGTACGATGCAGCAAGTGGGGGCTCCTAATGAGTCCCGACACCACGCCCAGCTTGCCCCCCAGGAAACTCAGCCAAGGCCTCCCTAGAGCTCAGGCGTCAGAGCAAACACACAGAGGTGAGTGTAGCCTGCTGCCTGCCAGAGGAAAGCAGCCCCACGCCCCACCTGGTGGCTCTGCCCACCACTGCAGCAGGGAACTGTGGGAGGAGCAGTACTGGAACAGGAGTCGGAGGATCCAGGTTGCACTCTCAGCTGGCCACCAGCTACAGCGAGGCTCCTTCCTCTAGGCTCAGCCTCCTCCCCTGCACACAGGGGTCCTTGGGTGAGCTCCCAACCACAGGAGGAAGCTGCTGTGTGTGCGGGGACACGCTGCTGAGCGGGGGTCCTGCTGCGTGTGCTACGCGGGCACGCTGCTGAGCAGGGGTCCTGCTGCGTGTGCTACGTGGGCATGCTGCTGAGCAGAGGGTCCTGCTGCGTGTGCCACGCGGGCACGATGCTGAGCGGGGGTCCTGCTGTGTGTGCTACGTGGGCACGATGCTGAGCAGAGGGTCCTGCTGTGTGTGCTACGCGGGCACGCTGCTGAGCGGGGGTCCTGCTGCGTGTGCTACGCGGGCACGCTGCTGAGCGGGGGTCCTGCTGCGTGTGCTACGCGGGCACGCTGCTGAGCGAGGGTCCTGCTGTGTGTGCTACGCGGGCACGCTGCTGAGCAGAGGGTCCTGCTGCATGTGCCACGCGGGCACGCTGCTGAGCAGGGGTTCAGGGTCCTACTCAGATTTTTATAGGAACTTTAAGTTTGTAAAACTGTCAAGAATCAACTGATAAGAATGAAGAATTCTCTCTGCTTTAATATTCAGATTTCAGCAAGGGTGGAAGAGGACAACGCTATGAATGTGGGCTATAACAAACGTTTTCTAAAGATACAAAAACCGCTCACCACAAACAAGCAAACAAATAAATAAAATGGTTAAGCTGAATTATCCACGATTCAGGACATCTGTTTTGCAGAAGTCACCACTCAGAGTGAGATGACTGTCCCCAGAGAGGGAGACTTTGCATTATGTAAGTATGACATGGGGTGTGTTTCTACACCATGCAGATAGCTCAGCAAGCACAGGGCAGACAGTGCGACAGAAAGAGGAGATGAATCAAGGGCCTGCCTTGTTGGGTAGAGGGTTAGGCTGCTGCCTGCAATGCCGGCATCCCATTCAGGCAGCAGTTCGAGTTCCGGCTGTTCTGCCTCTGATCCAGCTCCCTGCTAACGTGTCTGGGCCAGCAGCAGCAGATGGTCCAAGCCCCTGGGCTCCTGCAGTCATCTGGGGATGAAGATCTCTCTTCTCTCCACATGTTTCTCTACCCTAGCCGCCCCACCTGCCACTGCAACTCTGCCTTAAAAACAAACAAACAAACAAACAACCCCCCCCCATCAGAACAGACACACTACAAAAGAGATCTCCAGGGTAGGCAAGCGGGCTCAGGTTTAAGTTTGGGCTCTGACCTGGTCTCCAGCTTCCTGTTACTGAAGACTCCAGGTGATGGCTTGAGGAACTGGGGTCCTGTCACCCACGTGGGAGGCCTGGATTGAGTGCCTGGCTCCTGGCTTTAACCCTGTCTACCCTGCACACTCTGTGTAGGCATCTGAGGAGTGAACCAGAGCAGGGGGATGGGAGACGGCTTCTGCTTTTGTCTACCTTTTTCTGAACATTTAATTAAAACATTTAAAAAGATATCCAAATTGGGCCCGGCGCGGTGGCACAGTGGTTAAGGTCCTCACCTTGCACGCCCGGGATCCCATATGGGCACCGGTTCTATCCCGGCAACCCGCTTCCCTTCCAGCTCCCTGCCTGTGGCCCGGGAAAGCAGTTGAGGACGGCCCAAAGCTTTGGGATCCTGCACCCACGGGAGACCAGGAAGAGGCTCCTGGCTTTGGATCAGCATAGCATCGGCCGTTGCGCTCACTTGGGGAGTGAATCATCGGACGGAAGATCTTCCTCTCTGTCTCTCCTTCTCTCTGTATATCTGCCTTTCCAATAAAAAAAATAAATAAATAAAAATAAATCTTTTAAAAAAAAGATATCCAAATAAACCTACAAAACAAAAGCTTAACCACCTGAGACAATGGACAAAATGCAAACCACAAGCTTAGTATAACACGCAAGTGCCTAGGATGCAAAAGACAGAAAATCAAGCGCTGGCCCGGCAGCCGCTACATGGGGACTGAGCCTGGGCAGGTGTGGACGAGCGTGGATGAGCACTGGGTGGCATCGCCCAGAGCTGGACATGTCCACAGGCTGAGACACACGCACGCATACTCGCCGAGGCAGGCACAGGACACTCACAGCAGACTCCTCATGACAGTCCCAAGGGGGGAACAACCCGACACCCAGCAGCAAGAGAACGGGAAAGTGCAGCTGGTTCCCACGGCAGAACGCCACCACGGGAATGAGCAAGGGAGCCACCTCACGGAAGTGCTGGCTCCAAGTGTCAGGGACTCAGGAGACAGAGGAGTATCCACCCACTTCAACGTCAGGCCACGGCCTCCTCACGGAGGGACTGGTGGGGCCAGCGGCGGGCGTGGAGGCCTGGAACTGCTCAGTGTCTCCACAGACACTTGCCCATAAGGCATTCACATGATCTAATTCACATTAACAACTTGTGTGCTTTTCATCACACATGGAGACATTTGCAACTGCTATAAGATTTAGCATCTTCCATCTGTTCAGTCACGATTGGGCAAGTACATTTTTTTCCCTCTTATTTTCATTTTTATTTGAAAAGGAAAGGAAAGGAATAAAGGAATGAGGGATGGGGCCAGCACAACGGCTCATCTGATCCGGCCAGTGAGCGCCAGCATGCCATGTGGGCACTGGTTCGTGTCCTGGCTGCTCCACTTCCCTTCCAGCTCCCTGCTTGTGGCCTGGGAAGGCAGTGGAGGACAGCCCAAAGTGTTGGGACCCTGCACCCATGTCGGAGGCCTGGGGGAAGACTCCTGGCTCCTGGCTTCAGCTCACCTCAGCACTGGCCATTGTGGACATTTAGGAAGTAAGTTAGCAGATGGAAGATATTACTGTCTGTCTCTTCTTCTCTCTGTAAACTTGCCTTTCCACTAGAAACAAATTAATATTTTTAAAGAGAGCGATAGCCAGATGCTTTTACCTGCTGGTTCACTTCCCAAACGCACACAGCAGCCAGACAGGAGCCAGGACACAGGCTGGCTCTCCCTGGGAGCTGGCAGGGACCCAGGGACTTGTCACCTGTTGTCTCCCGGTGTGCTTAGCAGCAGGAAGCTGGATCAGAAGCGGGCCTGGGACTCAGGAGACAGAGGAGTATCCACCCACTTCAAAGCATGCAAGGAGAGGACCTGACCCAGGCACTCTGGCATGGGACGTGGATACCTTAACTTCCGCGTTACACACTGCCCTGTCCGAGTGGTTACTGTGCACTAATATGTACAAGATGCCAGGCTGGCTGCTGGAATACAAGGGGAACAGCATCAGCTGTAACATGTGGAAGCCTTCCAGGCCAACAGGAACCTACTCTCGCTTCCAGCTTCCTTTCTGAAGAAGAGGCTGTGGATCAGGAAGCCCTGCACTTTCTAGGAGCCCCTTGAGGCCAGAGTGCTGTGCAGAGGGAGGCCTCCTCGCTGCTCCTCCCCAGACAACGGGATGCAGCGTCTCTTCAAGGAGATCCCTGGTCCTCAGCTTCCTGTCTAAAGCCAGGCTTTAGCGGTCCACAGCTCCTCCTGATTCCCAGCTTGTTCCCTGGGATGTCAAAGTAAGGGATGGGTGTGACCTTGAAGGATGGGGAGCCAGAGGTGTTCCCAGGCAGTGGGTGGTCTCCACTGCCCCTTCGAATTATAGTTCAGATCTCTGGGACAGAAATTGAGCAAGCCTCCAACTTGGTTTTTCCAGCTATCTTCTTTTTTAAAGATTTATTTATTTATTTACTTACTTACTTACTTATTGGAAAGTCAGATTCACAGAGAGAAGGAAAGACACAGAGAAAGATCTTCTATTACTGGCCCACTTCCCAAGTGGCTGCATCGGCTGGAACTGAGCCAGAAGCCAGGAGCTTCTTCTGGGTCTCCCACAGAAGTTTGGGCCATCCTCTGCTTTTCCAGGCCACAAGTAGGGAGCAGGAAGGGAAGTGGAGCAGCTGGGATATAAACTGGTGCCCACATGGGATGCACGCAAGGAGAGGACTTCAGCCAGCAGGCTGCCATGCTGGGCTTTCCAGTTATCTTCCAACCACAGCCAGACGCAGCCACAAAGCCAATCTCCTCCAGGCAGGAGGAGAGTTCATTTTAAGAACTTGCAGGCTCACGGTGGGCGTTGAGTCTGGTGCTTCTGAGGTCTGCACCCCACGTCACAGTGTCATGTTCCAGTTCTGACTCTGGCTCTTGCTTCCTGCTAACATAGACCCTGGGAGGAAGCCACGCAGGCTCCAGTGCTGGGGGCTTATGATACCCAAAGGGGAGACCCCTGGCGTCAGCCTCACTCAGCCCCAGCTGTGTGGGCATTTGGAAGTCAGGCCAATGAATGGCCGCTCTCTCTTGCTGTGTCCCTGTGCAGGGGGGAGGGCTTCCAGGCTGCAGTAATATCACTGGGAAAGTCTGTAATATTACCTTGTACTCCTTTTATTTAGATATGTATGTGTCCTCAATGGAAGAAACACTTTAGTCATAAGAGATCAGAGGGCTAACGCACGGCCAAATCTATCGCATCGCAGCTAAGGGCTGGTAAGCTGAACCAAGGCGTGCCAGAAGCTCTTCCGAACAAGCTTAAACCTGTCTTCTTAATTTGGGTGAATCTTTTGAAACTCCAGAAGTAAACAGGCCTCTGCCCCCAGAGCTGCTTCTGATTGACCAGAAAGTCAGGTGGGCGGGCAGTGGGGTGGGGAGGGCAAGACTTCAAACATTCAACTCCTTACCCTCCTCACCGTGGGCAGACACCCCTCCTCACGGCGGGCAGACACCCCTCACAGCCCGCGGGCAGAGGAGGCGCCACCGAGTCCCTCTCTTCCTCCTCCCCAACACCAGGCCCTTCCTGCTCACTGCTGCTGGGATCTGCTTCTGGTGGGGGGGCCTCCCCACAGCGCCTCTGACTCCCCTGTCCCCCTCTTAGTTCCCAGGCCAGCATGGTCCTTCTGCAACCTGTCAGTGTTCCTTTAAAGGGCCCGAGGGCCTCCCTGCCCCTGTCCCTGAAGTGACCCAAGTCCCTGGGTTCCTGCACCTACACGGGAGACCTGAAAGACACGTGTACGTAAGGATGAGTCCTTCTCACCCCACTAGGAGCAGGAGGGGAGTGGAAGCCGGTTTGGGCCTCCGCAGCACTGCCCCCTGCTGGCGAGCAGAGAGAAGCAAAAACGGATTTGAGTTTGCAGGTGTAAAAAGATGACAGGGATGATCGCTCTTTAATAATAATAAAAATCTTAGAGAAAAATCTACTCCTTGAGAACCAGGTGGAGTCATGTGCGGCATCTCTGTAAGCCTTCTCCACCTCTGATGAGGCATCCACTACCAGGACAACCCCAGTCACCCACCCCTCCACCAGGCTGCCTGGAAGCAAATTCCAGACATGCAACCATTTCATCTGTAAATATCTCAGTACGGAAAAGGAACTCTTAAACACAAGGGATTGGAGAGAAATCCCAACAAAAGCCATTACCACAACTAGAAGAACAGCAAAAACACACCTCTAATAATCCCTGAACACACAGGGAGACCAGATCAGCATGCCTCACCCCCGAGGTCATGGCAAGGGAGAAGCCCAGTCGCAGTGGCTGGAATCCCCCACACTAACCAGGGCAGCTCACCTGCAGTCTGACGGGGATAAGCCAGCAGGAGCAAGGGTTCAATGTCTTCATGCAGAGCTACGCACCTTGAGCAGATGTGGCACGGGTACCACTGCATTGTGACTAAATCGTCCCTGGGATCCAGGTGGGGCCCAATGCTCAGATGGGCATCCACGTAGTGTGGGACACCAGCTCCCGGGCTGTGTCAGCCACTAGTGCAGGTTCAAGTTGAAAGACACTCTCTGGGCTGCCTGGGTGGCTTCTCCCCAGTCCCCCCCACCGCCCCTGCCGAACAAATTTCGCTCAACATGTCTGCCTCTCCCTCCACACTGTGAGCCCCTGTGCGGCAGGAAGACGTGCTGCCTTCGTATCCGAGTGGCTAGTCCGGGGGAGAGACCCGATAGATGAGGAAGGAAGAGCCAGTAATGCTTTTAAGAAAAGGTGCACTCAGGGAACAAGAAGTAGCAAGAATAGCAGAAATGAGAGGCTAACGCTGAAAAGAAAATCTCGTTAACGGTGGAACACAAGGACAGAGACGGAAAACGGGAAACCCAAAGAAGACCCAAGGGCCAGAGGGGGGGCTCTCAAGAGCGACCACAAGAGAGAGTGCTCTCTACACAACTGGATCCAGCATTGCATCAGCATCTCACGCAGAGCGCGGATGGCAGCATCCCCCGGTTACACGGCACAGCCGGTCCCCCGGTTACACGGCACAGCCGGTCCCCTGGTTACAGGGCTTCCCCGAGGTTCTCACCGGCAGTGAAGATGCCCTTGATGCTCTGTCTGATGCTGGAGGGTCTCACGATCGCTGAGATGCCTGAGAGAGAGAGAACCATGGACAGGTGTCAGTCATCGCAACCAGCAAGTCAATCCCTCTCCCGGAGTCACAAGTGCCAGGATCGGGGGTCAGGACCGAGGGCACCGTGGCAGGCCAATGAAAGTGCGTCGGCTGCTGCTTCTCTGTCTCAAGGGGCCAAAGGATACAAACACCATTTCTCTTTAAAGTTTCATTTATTTGGCAGAAAAAAAAAGGAGTTATTTATTTTTTTTGAAAGGCAGAGTTACAGAGTGATCTTTCTTTCTCTGGTTCTCTTCCCAGATGGCCCTAACAGCTGGACTTGGGCCAGGCCAATGCTAGCAGCCAGTTGCTTCTCCTGGATCTCCCATATAGGAGCAGGGGATCAAGGACTTGGGTCATTTTCTGCTAACTTCCCAGTGGAGCAGCGAACCCTGGAACTGGCACCCATATGGGAGGCTGGAACTGTAGGCTGCTTTGTCACAACACTAGCCCCCTGAAAACACATATGCACCCAAAAGTTCATGGAAAATGAATGGAAAACTGTGTACAAAAGCTTTTTGAAATCCACCAAGGATGCTTTAAAAAAAAATAAAATATGCATTTTCTGAAGGCCCCAACCCATGCATGGATTGTAAACATTTTGAGACCCAGATCAACCTATCCTTCCATTCTACCCTCGCATGAACTCTGTGCCCTGTCCTAGCACACAGAGTTCCAGGCAAGGAGTGGCGGGGTACTTTGCTACCTCCTCAGAAACGCGGCTGAGATCACACAGTGACCAGCATGGCACTGAAAAGGACAACCATTGTCCCAACAGTGTGTCTCCCCCAGGGTCACTTGGAGGAGAACTGGGACCCACGTGCCCTAAAACCCTGGTGGGGGCCCGGACACAGTGGAATTAATGTTGGGAGCTGCTGCGGCCCCTGAACCTGGCGCAGTGGCTTGCTCCCTGCAGGAGCTCCCTGAGGGCTGAACGGAAACAAAAGCACCCCCTCTCTTCAGGGAGGGAGCTGGTCTCCATTTCACTTCTTCCTCCCCTTCCTGATCTCACCAGCTTCCTTTACTGCCCCAGAAGGCAGTGGGCTTCCGCAGACAGGGCACAGGTTTGGTGTTACATGTGTGGGGGCGGCAAGCACAGCTATCAGGCATGTAAGGCTGGTCCTCCACCAGTGGGGCTGGATCCCAGATGGGCACTGGTGCCATGTCCTGGCGCCTCCACTTTTGACCCAATTCCCAGCTGACGGCCTGGGAAAACATCAAAATGTGACCCAAGTCCCTGGGTTCCTGCACCTACATGGGAGACCTGAAAGAAGCTCCTTGCTCTTGGCTTCAGATCAGCTCAGCACTAGATGTGGCAGCCACTTGGAGGAGTAAGAGGACAAAAGCTCCCTCTCTGTCTTTCCTTCTCTCTGTAACTCTGCTTTTCAAGTAGAAATGAATAAATGCTATAATAAAATAAAATCAATGGGGCAGCATCAGAGGGGAGCTGGCAGTGACAGCTCTTGGTGGCACAATGCATGTCACCCTTCCTTCCTCCTCACATGATCATCAGGATCACGGACACATCTGTCTAATAACTTTCAGAAGTTATGTTCTTGGAACCAGAAGAAACTGTTGTTCTCTTGGACAGGGATTTACGGTCAAGGAGCCTGAAGACAGAATTGTTCCCACCATCTTACCCCAAACAACGGAATTCTGGAGGTGGAAAACCCAGGTGGTCGGTGTATTCCTCCCCCCCGAGGCAACCACCTCTAATCCAGCTCAGAAAAAAAAAAAAAAAAAAAAAAGGAAAGGAAAAGAAGCAAAGTCTGCTGTTACCACGGCCAACACCCCCTCAACATCAAGTTCAAACACGTACCCAGCCGTACCACATGGCCACAGTCGGGGTCATGGGCAACCTGCAGTAATGTCTCCTCCACGTCCCTGTTTCTCCCAGGAGGGTCCATGATGCGGTTTATCTGTTGCTGTAAGGTCTTGGGCAAGGTCAGGAGCTGAGTGAACTGTCCTTCTGGGCTTTTATCTATCTAAGAAAGAAAAAAATAAATGAAAAAGATGCTATCTTTGCCAAGTGTTTTCAATTCTGTAGATATTTAGATGTGTGGGTTCTATTCAAAGTCACACCAATGGCTGAGCACCCACACCCTGGACGGGGCACGAGGCTCAGGATCCCGTATCCCTTCTAAAACTGAACGTCTGAGGAGACTCCAAAAGGCCAGGACACGTGGCACTAAAAGATAAGCTTATGTGGTGCAAGGGAACTTTTAAAATCCATATTTCCCATCAACTTGCCTGCATGGATTTAACAATTTCTGCTTTATTCTAAATATACTAAGGTGATATAAGAAAAAATACAGAAATGAAACATGTAAAACTAGAAGCCACTGAATCCACAAGCCACATGGGTCATGGGTGCTGAATCTAGTGGCCTACAGAGAGTCCCTGGGTTCATCTCTGGGACTCCAACTCCTTACAAGGCTCAGGAGAAACACCCCTGCCACCTGCTCAGGAGACCGCACCCCTGCCACCCGCACAGGAGACGCATCCCTGCCACCCGCACGGGAGACCGCACCCTGCCACCCGCACGGGAGACCGCACCCCTGCCACCCGCACAGGAGACTGCACCCCTGCCACCCCCACAGGAGACGCACCCCTGCCACCCACTCAGGAGACTGCACCCTTGCCACCCGCACGGGAGACCGAACCCCTGCCTCCGGCCCAGGAGACCTAGATCAAGCGCCTTGTGCCCAGTTTGAGCCTGGCCCAGTCCTGGCTGTGGCAGGCACTGGGGGAGTGAATCAGCAGAGAGGGTTCACTTGTTTTGTTTCCAAGAAAACATTTTTTTAAAAAAGAAAAAAAAAAAAAACCACCTATACAGCCTAAGTCAGACTAGCTTCCTTAAACTCCAGTGTTATATATTTTGGTTTGTATTATAAAATAAAAATTTTATAAACACTGACCACCAAAGATAGGGGCAGTAGTACTTCCTTCAAAACTCGGTACTGGGCGCAGTGGCCTAGCAGCTAAAGCCCTCACCTTGAACACTCCGGGATCCCATATGGGCGCTGGTTCTAATCCCAGCAGCCCCACTTCCCATCCAGCTCGCTGCTTGTGGCCTGAGAAAGCAGTGGAGGATGGCCCAAAGCCTTGGGATCCTGCACCCGTGCAGGAGACCTGGAGGAAGTTCCTGGCTCCTGGCTTTGGATCAGTGTAGCACCAGCCATTGCAGCCACTGGGGGAGTGAATCATCAGATGGAAGATCTTCCTCTCTACCTCTCCTCCTCTCTGTATATCTGACTTTGCAATAAAAATAAATAAATCTTAAAAAAAACTATTATTTTCTAGGAATGTTACATTCTTTTAATATATTTCAGTTTCAGCTTAAACTAAGAGAACAGTAAGACAAAATTATATGAACTGATCTAATAAAGTTCAGATTTTCAACATATGACCAATTGTCTTAATAATCAGAATTTACTTGGGACCAGCATGATAGTCTAGTGGCTAAAGCCCTTGCCTTGCATGCACCTGGGATCCCATATGGATGTCGGTTCTAATCCCAGCAGCCCCGCTTCCCATCCAGCTCCCTGCCTGTGGCCTGGGAAAGCAGTTGAGGACGGCCCAAATCCTTGGGACCCTGCACCTGTGTGGGAGATCCGGAACAGGATACAGGCTCCTGGCTTTGGATTGGCTCAGCTCCAGCTGTTGTGGCTGCTTGGGGAGTGGACCATTGGATGGCAGATCTTCCTTTCTGTCTCTCCTCCTCTCTGTATATCTGCCTTTCCAACAAAAATAAATAAATCCTTAAAAAAATTAGAATTTACTCATTTTACCTTTTCATTCAACAAGTATTTATATGTGTGCAAAGCAGAAAACGCTATTACTTAGTGACCACAGTAAAGGTGGAGAAGTGCATTTAGCCAAACAAGAGCTACTGAGGATGTTTTATTTGGCTGTGGCTACATAAATGACAAACAGTGTGGTTAATTCCTATAAAATATCCTAGAAATGACATTTTTAGACTCAGGTTTTGGGACCACACACTGATACTGGTCAGAAAGATTCTATATTTCAGTTATGCTTTACCCATGGACTGAATTGGAAGATGGAGGATATTTATCTCTCCTTCTCTTTGTAAATCTGCCTTTCCAATAAAGATAATAAATAAATCTTGGAGAAGAAGAACAAGAACAGAGCAATGGGGCTCTCACGGGCCAGAGGGCTGCAGCGGTGTTCTTTTCCCACTAGGAATCAGCTCCGTCACGTGGGTGGACAACAGTGTGTCTTACAGGGCTGTTAACTCTCGCTTCGTTTGCCAGAGACATTCAGTGGAAAGCAGGGGTGGGGTGTCTGCAGTGTCAGGCTGGCCTATGACGCTCTGTGACGGTAATCTGGCAGGCAGTAATGGCGATTTCCAGGGCAGAGAGACAGCTATGAGAAACCCCGTGAAACAAGGCCAGCACTGGCAACATCAGCTTAAGCTGCTGCTTATAATCCTGCATAACAGGGCTGATCCAAGGGCTGGCTGCCCCACTATCCACCCTGCTAATAGGCCTGAGACCTTGCCACTCATGCGAAAGCCCTGAGGGAGTTCCAGCCCCTACTGTTTGGGCTCTCTGGGGAACTAGACATCAGACAGAACACCTCTACTGCCTCTCCCTCTGTCATTGCCTTTCAAATAACTACATTAATCTTACATTAATAACTACATTAACCTCCCTCTGCAATGGGAGGAACCTGGGAAGTGGGGGGAGGGCTAGGGAACACTGCGACACCCCTTCCAAGTCAAGGTCAGCCCACTGCCCCCAGTGCCTCTTATCCCTTACAAGGCAGTGATGGGGGCGTTCTCAGCACGCTCCATGCTCGGGGAACATGCGCAGACCATTCACCAAGTGACAGCACAGGTGGGCAACTCTGGGAGGGGTCCGCCAAGCTAGCCAACACAGCCCTCAGCCCTGCCTCTGGGTGGAAACAGAAACCCCACCCTGATGTCCAGCTGGGGCTCCTGCCAAAGGCAACGAGGTTCAAGTGCAGATCCTGAAGGGAGCAGCACATGGCTCAGGTAATCGGGTTCCTGCCAACCCTGTGCCAAGCTCCTGGCAGCTGGGGCATTTGGGAAGAACAAGAGGAGTACCACAGGCCTACGGGGCTCTGCAGCAAGACTGCCATCTGCAGTGAAGAATCAACATGGTTTAAACTTGACTCCAGGGTGCTCGGCCCTGGCAGACAGAGCTGCTGACCCCGGCACAGGACGTGACCATGCCTGCAGGCTTGCCCCACAGGAAATGTGACGGGTCATATTAGCTGTCACAAGGCCAGGTGGGCTTCAAATCGGCTCAACTCCAGGCATTAAGGCCATGTGGGGAATGAATCTTCTTTCCCTCTGTCTTTCCTCCTCGTTAAGTCTGCTTTCTAAATACATGGAAAAAAAAATCTTTTAACAGGACTTTCAAGTGGCAAAAACAATACACACACAATGAACGAGAATCTTCCCACTTCTGCCTCTTCTTCCCTACTCCTACTGCGAGAGAGCTCAGTGCATGCCAAACCCTCGAAAGCAGGTCTTCACGGACGACACGCGCTGGTGAGAACGCAAGTGTGAGCACAGTGTCCACGGCCCGTCTCCCCTCCAAGCAGCTCCTGTCCTCCCACACGCTTTACCTCCAGTCTGCCCTGCTGGCTTTTATACACCACTTGGGGACTCTCCTGCAGAATGCTGCCATACAGCTCCCGGAAGTGGGCTAGGTTGGGCTTCACAATATTCAACACTTTTGCCTTTTCCTCTCCAACCACCATCCGAAAGTCACCTAAACAGAAAAGCCAACACTCTATTAAGAATTCACACTCTAGGGTCCAGCACAGTGGGCTAAACCTCCACCAGAGACGCCAGCACCCCTACAGGGACGCCATTTCAAATCCCAGCTCTTCACTTCTGAGCCAGCTTCTTGAGACGATGAGCTTGAGAGGCGGCAGCTAATGGCTTAAGGACCCGGATGAAGTTCCAGGCTTTGGTCTGACCTAGCCCTGACTGGCAGTGAACCAGCAGATGGAAGCTCTCTTCTCATTTTTCAAATAGATAAGTCAATCAATCTTAAAAAGCAAAAGAAAACAATTATTAAAAAAATTTTTTTTCAATAATGATAACATGGTTGATCAGGGCGGGAAGGATTGAGGTTTAGAGAAAATTGGGTGAATTCATTGCTTCCAAATATGTTATTTTTTCTTATTGTTCCTGGGGGGAGGGGAGAGACAAAGGGGGAAGACCACTTATGACTTTCCACACATCCCAGCACCCAGGGATGAGGAACCACCATCTCATATCAACCCAGGAACATGTGTACATATTCCAAGGGTTCTGTCTGCTGGAATGAGGTGAGTTCAGAGGAGGCTACACAGGTGTAGGACAATCTCCCGGGTAAGGTATGGGCAGAGCATGGTGTCTGAAACCTCTGGTGGACAGGCGACAAGTCACGGGGGCACGGGGGTACCATGTTCTGGTGGACAGGCGACAAGTCACAGGGGCACGGGGGTACCATGTTCTGGTGGACAGGCGACCAGTCACGGGGTCACAGGGGGTGCCATGTGCAGGTCGGCAGATGCTCCAGCGACAGCGGGGAGCCCTGCAGCAGGCATGGCAAAGTCATCCTTCCCTGAGCCAGGGGAACACAACACCGTAAATAATTACTCCAGGAAAACAAGTGTAAACTGGGTAAGCTAGGACACAGTGTTACCCTGGCCATTGTTTTCTCTGGAGGGGAGAAGCACCATTGAGGTCATTACTTGCACAATGGATTTTCTTAAGACTCAACTGTTGGCTTGTATTGGAAAAACAAAACAAAACAACACACAAAGAAAGAAAACACAAAAACAAAGGGGTAAACTATGCTAAATGCAGATGGGGAAGCACACGTGGGTCCCAGTCCCATAGGATGCTCACACGTGGGTGAAGGTGTGTTGCCACTGGGTCCGGGGTTGTGGCCTCATGGCTAAATCCTTGCCTTGCAACCAGCAGGATCCCATATGGGCACTGGTTCGTGTCCAGGATGCTCCACTTCCCATCCAGCCCCCTGCTTGCAGCCTGGGAAATCAGTAGAGGATGATGTATAGTCTGTGGATCCTGCAACCACATGGGAGATCTGGAAGAGACTCCTGGCTCCTGGCTTTGGATCGGCTCAGCTACATCCATTGTGGCCACTTGGGCAGTGAACCAGTGAAGAAAAGACCTTCCTCTCTGTCTTTCCTTCTCTCTGTAAATCTGTGTTTCCAAAAAAAAAAAAAAAAAAAAAGGCAAAGGGAATCACATGGTTAAAGGCTAGATTGCTGGTAATGGGGGTGTTGAAAATCGGTCCCTTTCACATAATGCTGTATCACAAATTGATAAAATCCTGCTGAAAAGCAGTGAACCAAGAAGTCCCTGGAGAAAGAGACCAAGGACAGACTCAGGAAATGTGAACCTGAGAGGCGATGCTGATTTAGCAGGTGCCAGGCCCTAGTCCAAGTGCTCTGTTGTCCCATTTAAAGCTCAGGTAGATACCGTTCTAGCACACAGGGCAACAAAGGCATGGGTTAAGTTACCTCCCTAAGAGTTCCTAAGAAGTGAATACACTCAGATAAAAAAAAAAAAACCTGCTCACTGAAGCACTACTTAAAATACTGGCATAATGGACGCAACCCAGATGCCCAACAACAGGGGAACGGAGAAGCTATGACGAGTCACCCACACCCTGCCAGGGACGGTGTGTCACCAGCAAACATTACAACACACGCAGCAGGAGGGAAAAGGATCACGTGACCATGGGCAGTAAGAAATGAGGCGAAAGTACAGCAAAATGTCAAAACACAACTGTTTAAAAAAATCACTCACACACAGATGGGAAAGGGACTTTATGCTTCTGCTTTAATGTAAACATTTAATCTGTATGTGTGGCTCCCATGGAGCAGTCACTTTAGGCCTTGCAGGGTCCCACAGAGCAGGACTGCTACCACCTTCCCTTCCACAGATGCGGAGCACAAGGCGGACTGGTCCAACGTCCCACGGCCTCTCACTGTCGCAGCGCTGCCACTGCCGGGGACCACTCTGCTTGGGAAACTCCTTCCCTTCTCCCCTCTTGTAGAACCCTGACCTATCACTTTGAGCATTTGCAAATGGAATCATGGGTATGAGTGGGTGTTTGGCTCACTGGCTAAGACAACATTTGCAAGGCCGGCTTCTCATATTAGGGTGCTTGGTTTGAATCCCAATTCTACTGCTTCTAGTCTGGCTTCCTGTTTATCTGTTATTTTAAGATTTATTTATTTGAAAGTCAGAATGACAGAGAGACAGAGACTGATTTTACTATCATCTGATTCACTCCTCAAAGGGCCACCCAGTTAGGACCCATGTCAGGCAAAGGCCATCCGGGTCTCCTGTGTGGGTGGCAGGTACCCAAGCACCCAAGTACCTCCCACTGCTTGCTCAGGTGGTTAGCAGAGAGCTGGATGGGAAGAACGGAAGTTGCGGTTTGAATTGGAGCTCGTATGGGATGCTGTTGTTGCAGGGTGTTGATGCTGACATACCACAGCGCAGCTCCCCGCTCCGTTGATGCGTGCACACGGAGGCGGCAGGTGCTGCTTCTGGTGTCTAGGTCCTTGTCACCCACAGGGGGAACTCATACTAAGTTGTGTGTTCCTGGCTTCAACCTAGGCTAGCGTGTCTGATGTGGCCTTTTGACGAGTAAACCAGGGGTAAAGTTCTCCTCTGTCTTGACTTCTCTTCCAAAGAAAATAAAACAATTTCTTTTTAAAAAAGGATTTATTTTACTTTTATTAGAAACTACAGAGAGCAGGAGAGACAGACAGGAAGTTCTTCCATCTTTTGATTCACTCTCCAAGCAGCCACAACGGACAGAGCTGAGCCAATCTGAAGCCAGAAGCCTGTATCCTGTTCCAGGTCTCCCACATGGGTACAGGGTCCCAAAGCTTTGGGCCGTCCTCGACTGCTTTCCCAGGCCACAGGCAAGGAGCTAGATGGGAAGCGGGACTGCTGGGATTAGAACTGATGCCCATTTGGGATCCCAACACGAGCAAGGTGAGGACTTTAGCCGCTATGCTAGTGCACCAGGGCCCAATGAAACAATTTCTTTAAAATTTCAAATAGCAGGGCTGGTGTTTTGGCACAGTGAGTTAAACTACTGCCTGCAAAACTGGCATCTGTGTGGGCACTGGTTCCAGTCCTAGCTGTACCACTTCCAATCTTGCTCCCTGCTGATGCGCCTGGGATGTAGCCGAGGCTGGCCCCAGCGCTTGCATTCCTGCACCCATGCGCAGGAGACAGACTCAGAGGGGCCTGGCTGCTGAACCCATGTGGAGGGTAACCCACGTTGCATCACCTGAGTTTTGCCTACTGGTGCTTTTCCTGCTCTTTCTGCAAAAAGAACACTTTAAGATGGCAGCGTTCTGAGAAGGAAAAGCCTACGAATCCAGGCCCCTCCCCCCGTGGAAAAACAATCGCATGCTCTGACCAAAGGCCCCGGAGGACACTCCAGCCTCCCCGAGAACAAGGGAGGACACTCCAGCCTCCCCGAGAACGAGGGAGGACACTCCAGCCTCCCCGAGAACAAGGGAGGACACTCCAGCCTCCCTGAGAACGAGGGAGGACGCTCCAGCCTCCCCCAGAACGAGGGCCGCGTGAATTCAGCCCCGCAGCCTGGCTCCCTGTGCACTGCCAGGCCCACACAGGCACGGCAACAATCGGCTGCTGAATGGACTTTCCCAGCGGCTGTGCAGGGGAGAGGCTGAGCGCACAGGCTGATTGCCCTAACCCTACACAGGCTGTTTCTTCAGGATGAGGGGAGTAAGACCTCACACACAGCACGAACCAATATCTGACATAAGAGTTGATCTTTCTCTCCCTTCCGAGATGTGTGTGCTACAAAGCACAGGGATTGGGAAAAACTGACCACTGACTGGTCTCGACTGATTTTTTTTTTTAAGATTTACTTAAAAGGAAGATCTTCCATCCAATGATTCACTCCCCAAGTGAGCGCAATGGCCGGTGCTGTGCCGATCTGGAGCCAGGAGCCAGGAACCTTCAGGTCTCCCACATAGGTGCAGGGTCCCAAGGCTTTGGGCCGTCCTCAACTGCCTTCCCAGGCCACAAGCAGGGAGCTGGATGGCAAGTGGAGCTGCCAGGATTAGGACTGGCGCCCATATGGGATTCTGGCACGTTCAAGGTGAGGACTTTAGCTGCTAGGCCATGGCACCGGGCCCTCAAATGATGGTTTTTAACTCCTGACTACTCTATCCCAAGAACTGCCACTGAAATACAACGGGTAACCCCAACGGACCATTTCTCCTTGACTCCGAAATGAGACAAATGTGGAGTCTTGAGAACCTTCCTCGTTGTGCCTGCACTGGGCCCCAGGCGTCCCTCCAGCAGGCACAGACCTTGCCACAAATGTGCGGGCAGCAGGGACTCTGCAGCCTGCCCACAGGCCTGGCAATGTCCCAGGGTGACCTGAGTCAGCCTTCTTCAGCTTTCCGCGCCATCTTGATCCTCTCTGGAGAGTGGCTTGACAATCACACACCCTCGCAAGGGCTTTCAGACTTAAGTGAGCTAAGCTATTAAAGCAAGCTTTGTAAGCAGGAAAGCAGTGACCACTGATGTTGAGATACGTGTATCGGAGACAGGACAAGAATCCCTGAGCCTCAAAGATAATAATTCTCAGGCTAACTTCTCTTTTGAACTCCCCCTGAGTGCTGCTTTCTTTTCAGTTCAATGAGTATCTGTCTAGCTATGCCAGACACCAGAGCTAGGGAGACAAGGCCC